CTGATACATAAAAGTATTTTTAATTTTAAAATGAAAATAACTTTGAATGTTTGATAAGCAACAATGGAAAAGAAAAAAAAAAGGCATGAGAAAACATTGCTTTACAAACTTAAAGACTTAATAAAAAAAATTGATATTTTGCATATGAAAGAATTGTAATGTTTACTGATAATTTGCCAAATTTTTTTAACATTCGCTTACTAATTTAAAAGTTATTACATGAAAACTATAACAGACACAAAATGGTTACGAGGTTGGTCCTGGGGACCAAGTCTTTGCTGAAAAAGTTAAAGGTAATACAATTAATTATTGGCTGTATTTCAACATTGAAAAAAAGAGTAAAAACCCTTCATTAAATGTGGTTATAAGTTCTAAAAACTTGTGAAATCAAAGAAGAATCTAATAATATGTAAACCTCACTGTCTGCTATGTTTAGTGCTGACAAGACCTTTTACCCAGTAGCAGGGCTCGTCAAGCCAACTGGGATATGACGTGCATAGTAGTGGTCTAGGCTTATTAATAACTAATTAGTTGAACAACTGTTTTGGTGTGAACTACATTATGTTGATAAACTGTATTGTTTATCACTTTTCTGAAGTTATGAGTGAAAGTAAAGAAGAATATAATAATATATCATACTTCTAGTAAAATATGCATTATTTAATATTTTTTCATTAACCCTATAATTGACTATTCAACAAATTGCTTGTGGGTCCATAACTTTCATGGTTACAGATTCCTAATAATGTATAGGTCATACACACTAAGAAAAATTAAAACAAAAATACCATCAGTGTTGCAAATAATTCCACTATATTTTCTGGAGAGATTTATTGTGTATTTTACTTAAAAGTGAGTGATTTAAACCAATACTTTTTGCTTATTTGTCACACTGAGTATATAGCAACAGTCAAAAACGTAAAATAATCAATATAGTGTAACTTGTTATTGAGTAGACTGTAAACAAGTTAGTAATTAGAGTTAAATCAATATAGTGTAACTTGTTATTGAGTAGACTGTAAACAAGTTAG